AGAGTTGCCCCTCCACGCCTCCACAGCGAGGTGACCAACTGTTGCACTGTGAGCAATGTGAAATCAACTTTTGCTCATGAAATGATTGAAAAAGGCCCATTATTGTCTGATATCTTTATGAAGACAGTGTAGCCTTGTATGGGTACACTGTAAACAGTCACGAAACAGTTTGAAAACAGGAGTGTTTTAAGAAATTGTGCAAAGGTTTATGTAACAGGAATCATGCACTGCAGTTAGGTTATATATCCTGTGCACAGCCAGAGACAACATAGACTTATCATCCATCCAAATGGAAGCGGGTCTCTCATGTATTTCAAAAAGAGTCAAAGACACACCATGGATGCCTACAGTGGATATAAAAAGTCTACACACCCCTGTTAAAATGCCAGGTTTCTGTGATGTAAAAAAACGAGACCAAGATAAATAATTCCAGAACTTTAGCCACCTTTAATGTGACCTATAACTTGTACAACTCAATTGAAAACAAACTGAAATCTGGTTTTCAGTGGGAAGTAAAAATAAAAAACTAAGGGTGTGCACACTAATGCAACCACATTATTTTAGTTTTTTATTTTTACTTCCCACTGAAAAACAGATTTCAGTTTGTTTTCAATTGAGTTGTACAAGTTATAGGTCACATTAAAGGTGGCTAAAGCTCTGGAATTATTTATCTTGGTCTCGTTTTTTTACATCATAGAAACCTGGCATTTTAACAGGGGTGTGTAGACTTTTTATATCCACTGTAGATATGAAATCTTCTATATTAAACTGTACACACGAACCTGTGCACTGTGTTTTTCCCTTTTCGCAAACACAGTCTAGTAATGTTTTGGGTTATACCCCACTTCTCCCCCAGTGTCATCTGGGATAGGTTCCAGCCCCCCGTGACCCTATTCAGGAATAAACGGTATAGATAATGGATGGATGGAGCCATCACAGAAGTGTGAGTGACTTTTGCCCAGGACACTGACACAACTCCAGACCATGACAGCCCCTGGCTTTTGGACTTGTTGCTGCTAACAGTCTGGATGGTCGTCATCTTTGGTCCGGAGCACACGGTGTCCATTCCTTCCAAAACAGACCTGAAACACTGATTGGTCTGACCACAGTGCATGTTTCCACAACGTGATGGTCCATCCCGGATGCCTCCAAGCCCAGAGCAGTCGACTTCTGGACACTGTTGACACAGGGCTTCCTTTTGGCACAATCCAATTTTAAGCAACATTTATGGATGTACTGTATCTACGTATTGTAGTGGCTGACACAGGTGAGCCAAAGTCATCCTGAGCCCATGTGGTTATATCGCTTATAGAAGAGTGACGATTCTTGATGTGGTGCAGTCTGAGGGATCAGAGAGCACGGTCATCTAGCTTGGGCATGCGCCCTTGTCCTGAAATCCCTCTGGATTCTGCAGTTCCTTCAATTGTTTGTTCAGCAGCCCATATATTGCTTTATTTTTTGCCAATTTTTTTGGATTCTGTGCCTATGTTGACCTGTAGAAACTGTGATTAATCAGTTAGAGACGTTTTTCACAATAACCACAGTGCTTGAATGTGCACTGCGTTCAAAGGTGAGATGATAAATGAAGCCCAGTAGAGTGCCGCTTCTAGTAGGAAAGGACTTTAATTTTTGAAGGTTTGAGGCACTGAAAATGATTCAGTTCAGCCAGTTCCTCCACAAAGGAAAGAATGAAAAAAGTGAAACATGGGTAAATCCCTGCGGTGTCTAAGGACTGTGCGGTGTGCCACCCAGCTCCTCGCATCGGATTAGAAGCAAAATAAAAAATGCACAAGCTTATGAGCATGAAACTTCACTTCAAAAGGTCTGCATATTAGAACGTGAGATGAGAGGATACAGTACTTTAGGAAAGAGGCAGTAGAGATGGAAAAGAATGGGAAATAAGGTGAAGCAGTATGACGGAGAGTTATTTTTGAATGGTACTCAGGGAGAGAAAATATGGGGAAGATGCCAGGATGCCTCCTGCTGGTAGTAAGTGGCCCTCTACCAGTGACTGCAGGATGAATATTGCAGCATGTCTCGGGGTCACAACATTTTTCTTTTTGCTTCAGGGCTCTCTCATACTGTAAAAGCTCCTACCTGAAAATTTCACACCAATTTCTGTCCTGGATGCATGCAGCTTGGCAGTTTACATAGTATGGCGCACATGCTCTAGCTCTCCCTGTCCCAGGGAGTTAGCACTCCATCGCAGCCTGCTGACAGAAAGGTTATAGACGGCACTCAGCGGAGCCAGACAAAAGAGCAAGCAAGAAGACAGTCCTCCTACGTTCAGCATTTATCAGCACACTGCTCAGTCAAAGTAACAGCATTTCAGTGTGTGTGCGTGTGTGTGTGTGTGTGTGTGAGATACCAAATGAAAACCCTAAAGCAAGACAGTTCAACAGCAGCCACCATGGCCACAAGAGAACGGTGATGCTTTTGAAAGAAGTCTGAAGATTTGGTTCTCTCATATGAAACATTTCACTGATGTATAACTCCGCCCTACTTGTGCTACTTTTAGGCTGCATCTTAGCATTGACTGTCATCCTCAGGTTGTCGTGTGTTGTTGTAGGTAGCCAGAGCCAGGGGGCGATTAGTGTACCTTAACAGAAAGACTGAGAGCAGCAAGAAGCAGCTGCCTCAGTGCAATACTTAAAGAATAAGTCAGAATCTGCAGTATAAAGCTCATGAATTTGCTGGTTGGCATATTTTTAGAACAAGGCAATCATATATTTGCTGTCGAAATCATAAAACCTTGCCAGCCTATTAGCTTCTTTACAGCCTTTCTGATCATCTGACTGTTCTTATTTCTTGACCTTTCTCGCATTGTTGTTGCATTGTTGCCATGTTCTCAGATTTTACCATTTGATTAGGTGAATATTATTGTAACTGATAGAAATGAGGGCTAAAATTATGAAAAGGACACTCCAAGTGTTGTTGGAACTTTGAGTCCTTATTTACTTTTCTGCCTTCCTGCAGCTCCTTCTGCAGGCATTTTAATAGAAAAGCTTTTAGTTCGAAGACGGCTGAGAGAAATGACAGCTCTCTGACCTTCTGTTTTTGTGTGATATCTAAAATGATAGAGAGGGTGTGTTTGCCTAGAAAGTAGGAAACAAAATGTGTGTGTGTGTGTGTGTGTAGAATATGCTCATTTGTGTGTGGCACCCAGTAAAGCTGAGCACATGAAACATTGGCTTTCATATTTAATGAGTGGAGATGGGGCTACGGAACGTTGCAGCATTCACAGGAGGTATTCCCATGGGCTGTCAACCTGCTCACAGCTTTCTGTTATATCACTGTATGAGGATTCATTTAAGTAAGGCAAAAAATAGTGTGTCTCTGAAAGTTTAATATTTTGTTTTAGATGGGAGCAGGGGTTCAGAGAATTATATGGCACGTGCATGAGCACTGGTTTGATATTTCTGCTCTGTGAGGAAGGAATGGGAGGGATGGGAGTATGCACAGCACTCTTAAGCCTGTTGAGTATGTGTTCCCTTCACTAGCCGCAGGGTCCATAGAGCACCAGGTGTCGTAGTGTTTCCTCTCGTTGTTTCCTTTTCTGAGTAGGAAACATTTTCTTTGCTATTATCTCTGCTGATGTCCTGCTTAACTTTGCATTGTCGCTAACCAAAGTTAGCAGGATTCTAAGCTGAGCTACACAGGAACATATTGTTCCTCTGTACAAGATTCAGCTCAGATGCTATTTTAACAGGAGTCTGAAATCACTGTGTGTGCCCAACTTGGTTTTGAATGATCAAGCTATTAAGGTAAAACACATGGGACTATACTTTAAATGCTAATTGCTTACATCGTGAAAAGCAAACAGGGAACTCCTTCCTCCTGTTTTTACCAGCTGTGTTGTGTCAGTCTGTGATGGACTGGTGACCTGGCCAGGGTGGACCCTGCCTCCCGCCCAATGGGATTAGTTCTACCCCCGTGGCCCTATTCAGGAATAAGCAGTATAGATAATGGATGGATGGATGGATGGATGTTGTGTCAGTGAGCTGAGGACAGAGAGAAGAAGAGCTAGGACAACTTTGAAAATCCTGTCCAGTGTGAGTGACGCCTGTCAGGAATTTGAAAGAAGCTTTGATCACTGGGAACAAAAGCTGCAGGTTCTGCAGTACAGTCCACATCCAGCACAGAAAGGCTAAGAGCGCCAAAACCTCTCTGCATTCAAGTTAAAGGCCAAGTTCAAGCTCTTTATTGTATCTGAATAGGTCATTTTTATCCACATACTGGTCTACAGATGACCACTGTGCTGTATTATTTTATTTCATTATTCTGTTTTGTCTCATTTTAATTTTATGTTGTTGCTGATTACCCTGTTATGTAAGGGCCCTGGTTTTTTGCAAGACACCCTATAAATTAAAAGTATTATTATTGTTTAGTTCTTGACAATTTTGCCTCTAATCCACAGTCTTGGCACTCACACTTTGAAATGTGTCATCTGAATTCCTCTCACGGCAGCTGTAGTGTTTGATTTGACGGTAATTGACTGTTAATTTTCTATTTGTCTGTAATTGCATACATTCTTTAGCTTGTTACAGTGTTAGACACCGGTAGAAATTTGTAGCGTCTGATACTGTGAAAGTTCAACACCCTGAGGGTTTATGCTTGTTGAAGCTGGCAATCTATGGCAAGTCCACACATCAAAACACAGTATTTACAGTATGAATAAGTTGCAGGCTGATTTAAATTCCGCCACAAACTATCAAAATTTGGATGCATTTGATGCCTCTTTAAATCAGTCAGTATGACAGGTTGCTGAGAAAACACAGAGCTGTGTCGCCATCAAACTTCTACAGAAGATCAGGTTTCAGAAAATTCCCTCCAGTTAATATGATTTTGCAGCTTTGTTCCTGGAAATTACCAACAGTAAAATGATGATGTAAACAAAGTCTGCCAAAAAGATGTTTTCATGCAAGATCGATATGCTGCTGAAGTTCACTGAATAAACAAGCTCTTCATTGTTGCCTCACCGCTGTTATGTTTTTTTACAGAGCTTCCGTACGGCTGGGAGAAAATCGATGACCCCATTTACGGCAGCTACTATGTTGAGTGAGTCGAGTACATCTTTAATATGTAATAGCTTGCTTTTGATTTTCAGTGTAGCCCGCTGGGGCTGTATTAATCATATTTATTAGGAGCAGACTGGCACTCCAGCCAGGAAGCAGTCGCTCCCTTTGTATGCCTGCTGACACCGTGCTGCTTGTGTACAGGGGGATGTTGATTTGTTTGAATGTGCTTATCCACATTTCTCTGTCTGAAACACTCGCGGTGTGACTTTATCTGTAGAGTAGCTCATGAGCAGAAATCAGTCTCTTTCTGAACCTCCTGCACGTTTGTTCATCCATAGCCACATACTGTATGTGTGTCTACAGTGGGACTGCTGCAGTAACCTGTCCTCTCTATTGAACTGCATGGTGTCATTTAGTTGGCTGAATGGGAAATACTGTAGGGGCGGGGCTCTATTTTTAGACAGGCAGGGGGGGGGGGGGATCGTTTGGCTCGACTTTGTTTAAGAAAACCTTCAGAATAACACTTGACTCCACAGTGCCTTGTACACCGCACTCCCCTCTTGAGATGCTCTTATTGTGTTACCTTGTCATCGTGTAAATACCATAAAAGAAGTTGCCAGACCTTGAAATTATGTAACTATGTAAAAATATAGTCAGGTTGTTTTCTAATTAGCACTGTGATACTGGGGTATTCATGAGACGATAAGGAGAGGAGAGAACGATGATGTGTGTGTGTGTGTCCCAAACAGTGAGAAGAAGGATCTAATGATGACTAATTATTTCACACTGGCAAATTATAGTATGTGTAGTCATTGACTATCTTCCCCCTTGCAAACTAAATTAAGAACAACGTGGGATGTTAAAGGAAATCACTATTTCTTGAGCATGTTTCCCACCAGTCACTGATTCTCACTTCACTAGTTCTGGTTATAGGGTGGGAGAAAAGTTCCAAACCAGTTCCTGGTTCTTTTTTCCCTCAGAAAGGGCGCTGCGCAGCTGTGTTATAATAATCTGTTCATAATCTGGGAACAGGCTGTTTAATTAATCATTATAGCAATAGCTGCTGTAATGGCAGGGTTATTAGATCTGATTTTTGCAGAGACAGGAGGCTAAGTTACTGTAACTGCAAGAGGATAGTGTGAAATCTGAAATCTCTTCTGTTTTTTTTTTTATCAGTCATATAAATAGAAGGACCCAGTTTGAGAACCCAGTCCTGGAGGCTAAAAGGAGACTCCAGCAGCAGCAGCAGATGCAAAGCCAGGGTCTGTCCTCATTGCCCCTTCCGACCATATACAGAGGTAAGACCACCTCGCTGGTATCTCGGCATCTCAAAACATTTCTTATTATTGGGGTATTTACTTTTCAACTGTCTGCATGTTTTCAAGAGGGTTATCGTACAACAGCCAAGGCACCTTTATATGAATAATAACTGGTATGTTGTTAACCCTTTGCTGCCAAAACGTGCAGACTTTTTTTTGTTTACTGTATTTGTACTTCAACCACGTGACTGCTTCTGAACGTCTCTTAGTTTCAAATGTAGCAAAAAAACAGCAGGATAACCAGTGCTATATTCTTTACATGAGTGAGTGCAGTTTTTATTGTGTCATCTGCACAACTACAGAATGGGCTTAAAAGACACTACAAAGTCATACAAGCTACATCCAGAATTTTCATACAATTCTACAAAACATCCAGAAATAAAGAAAGCCAACTTACTAAACCAGTTCAATAAGGAGAGATGAAATAAGAGTGCACAAGGATGTTTGTTTAGGTTGAACACAGAAGGAGGATTTGACCCTGTTGTCAAGCACTTCTTGCAAACAGGGAGCCTGGTGCAGATAGGAGATAGGTAGATCCCCCAGGATTGCCCTGATGGATTGGGTGGAGGTGGGTTGCATGACTGTAGGTCTGAAAAGCAAAATAAAAAAGACTAATATTTAAAATATGAAACCCATGAGCTGACTGGTTCGAGATGCATGTGGAAGGCAGCAGCTGGGCAGAAGTGGTGATGACAAAATGTGTGAGCAAGATTTTGACAGTGTGAGGAAAAGGGAGTGATGGAGGAGGAGAAAGACGGCTGGGCACAAGCCAGAGATCCTGATAAGGAGTGAAAGAAGTAAAGAATCTTTCTTACTGAACTTTCACCTAAGCTTCACTTGTGATAATTTCCACAAAAAGTCAAACCTTCAGAGTCTGTAACACACTTCAAAAACTCACTGTCAAAATCAGAATAAATACAAGTTAAATAATCCATCTTGCTTCCTCTGCCAGGCTTTGAGAAAATGTTATCAAACTTAAACACATCAAAACTGAGCTAGCATTTCAATTTTTATCATCTTTGCACCAACATTTTTCAGGACTCTGTCAGTTAATTCAGTGGAATATTACTATGTATTATGCAAAAAATGGAGAAACTTAATGCACATGATTCTTAGATCCCCATGTAGCTACTACATGTACAACCAAGTGTGATATTGTGACTCAGTTAGTCTATTAGCCACAGAACTATCTTAGATCAGTCAATCTTAGCCTCAATAAAACAGTGGGTGGAACACTGGCTTCTGGTGGCACTGATCATAATACTTGATCATATGAACAGGGCTCTTCCAAAGTGAACGAGTGGGTTTAAATGTGATTCACTCTTTTGAGTTGTTTGTTGCTGCTTGATTCCAGTGCTCACTCTCCATCAGCCATAGCAGTAGGATGCAATGCTGGAAAGTGACAGTCTGGACTGGTGAAGTGGAGGTTTGTTTCCGTAGTAACATAGTTGTCAAGAGGTGGACTCTGTGGTTACACTTTGTGTACATTTCAATGAGGCTTTCTCTCCTCCCTATTTCCGCCTGGCACCCCTCCCTCCTCCTCCTTTTCCCTCCCAAACTTTGATGCTAGTGGAGGATGCCAGCCCTTGTGCCACCCTCCCCAGATCCCCCCTGGCACAGGCCAGCCCAGTGCCCGAGCGATGCCACAGCCTCTGCAACCTGTCCCGTTCGCCAGATGTGAGTCGCAGGGCAGCTGCATACTCTACATCCTCCTCTGCCAACATCTCCCCACTCCGACGTGTTCTGACTCAGCGGATGAATACGTGCCCCCACCAGCAGCAGCAGCAACCACTTCACACCTCCACCTGCTCTGTGGTGCTAGAGCAGCCTGCCTGTAGTCGTATCTCCCTGTGGCACTTTGTCAGTAAGTAGGTCAAGAGAGGAGCGACCGAGGCTGACTGGCGTTCTCATGGCTGCCTGTGCTCATCTGACTTACTGTAAGCATGCTAGCTCGCAAGCACGCTTTTCTCTTGAGGCAGTTGAAGGATTTGTGTGGCAAGCGTGTACCATGACTTGTTTTATTGCCTGCCATAAGCAGGCAGATACTGTAATCACTCAGCCTTTCGGACCACTGACAGCAAGCAAAGGATGTAAACTAGCACACTAGCCGCATCTCCTTTCTGAGGTGAAAACAAGGGAGACTAGGTTTAGTGTGACCAAGCTTGTTGGCTGAGATCCTCTCATTCCTACACAGGGCACTCCTCCTCCAGAAACCTCCCTCTTTCAGAAATCTCCCAGTTCTTTCCTAGCCCTCCTGAGCATCTTCTCTTGGAACTGATCCTGATTGACAGCATGTCTTTTGCTGAATTTTTGCTGCTTCCCTGGTAGCCTTGGGTTAAGACTGAAGACCTGCACCACTGATGCTGTCTGCACCCTTTCTGCCAGCCATATCCCAGCATGGATGGAGAGGAATGGATATTAGTTTAGTGTGTTTAGGAGTGACAGGAGAGACTTTTTACCTAGCACAGGAGCCAAAATTGTTGAACAACACCCACATCTTTCAGCACACACCACAGCCCCACCTTGTCCAAGTTTTGCAGTTAAGATCATATCGTGCCAGTTTTCCTGGCTACACCCATATTTTCAAAAATGTGCTTTACCCATGCCCCCACCCTGTGAGCACTGCCTCACACCAGCTTTAAGGTCATTTCAATCTTTGCTTTAAAGCTTATCATGTATTTGGTTATTTGGTTAATTTGTGTGTTTGCATCCTTTATAGAGAAGCCGCTGTTCACGCGGGACCCCACTCAGCTGAAAGGCAGTTTCTTGTCCACATCACTCCAAAAGAGCAACATGGGCTTTGGCTTCACTATTATTGGAGGCGACGAGCCTGACGAATTCCTCCAGGTCAAGAGCATTATCCCTGACGGGCCTGCTGCAGCTGATGGAAAGATGGCCACAGGTAAGCCTCAGGCATGTCCGAAACACATTCTGTCAAGCTCTTACACCCCAGCCTGGAGGAAACCCTGGTGCAATATGACATGACATTCCAGCTCCCAGAAATCGCCATTAACAAACGCTTTAAAGCCTATAGAAAGTTTATTACTTACACTTACTACTGACAAAACACAGTTAGAGTAAAACATGGTTTACTACAATCTCACTGACAAAGAAAGTATTGGCTTCTTGGTTGCTACTGTAGATTGGTGGACTGGTAGCGTCTCCTTTGGAGACATAAGCGCCCGGCTTTTAAATCCAGTGGCTGGAGATTGCAACAAGTCAGCTCGCAGAAAAACCAACATTTCTTTATCTTTATTTAAACAGCAGGGCTCTTGAGTAGGGATGGAACAATATGACTTTTTCTCAGTACGATTCAGCGCACAATATGGTGTGTACGATTTGATTCAATCACAATACAGTGAAAATATTCAATGAATAGCTGCAAAATACTTGGACTTCATTCCTCTTTTTTCACTTTTCTAGCACTGGTTTGATTATGTAAAAAACAACTTACTTACGGCTATCTTATTTACAAAAATATGAAGTCGCTGGTGTAAGGAGACTACACAATATATATACCATATTGCAAGACAAAACAATATATTGTGACATTTTTATATCACAATATGACAGATACACATAAACACACACTGAGACAGACCGGCTGTACTAGAGGTCAGGTGAATAAAAGTACACTCAGCATACAATGATGTTTCTATCTGTATATGCTGGAGCTTATAGTGGTCATTGACTGTATCACACCTGAAGTGAGCTGGTCAGGGAGTTTCCTTTTCTTAAACCAGATAGTCTTCTCCTTAACACTTTAGACTTGTTCTGTCATGTTGTAGTTGTGTTACCAGACTTATTTCAAAAAATGTGGTCATAAATGTCTTTTTTTTATGACTGTGTGGGTGCAGCAGTCCCTTGTTGACTAAGAAAACTTGTTCTGACAATACTGTGTATAAAGGCTTTTGTGTCACTGCCTTCTCTTCCATCCTTCCTCTTTTTTTGGAATTTCCTTCTTTTATGTATTTTCTTTCCAAAAATAACTAAGAAATCCCTCCCACTTCTTTATTTTCCTACTTTGTGTCTCCTCAGCACCACTTCCTCCCTTCAGCTCATCTCATCTCTATCTCACTATCCACTCTCCATCCCCCACCTCGTCTCCTCTGACTTTGTGTCCTACTTTTGCAGTAGCAGAGCTACATCTCGATCACAGAGCCCACACTTAGGAAACCCAGACCTGTAGAGGTGTGAAATTCCCAATTCCCCATCGAGAATTTGTGCCATTTTCTCCTCCGTGACCCTTTTTGGCTGTCTCTACCACGTGATTACACAGCCAGGGAAACGTGTTTAAGCACTTGTTATACAAGTCCCTTAAGTACATGATTTATAACTGCTTGAACGCATCCAGTGCTTTTAAGTCCAGGCAAGAGATCAGTATTTTTGTGGAATTTATAATGATAATCATTTTTACTGGCCAGGTATGTTACACACACAAGAATTTGTCTCTGGTACAGAACCCAGGTAGCCATCTGCGGTAACACCTCGCACATGCACACACACACACTGATAGTTGCACTGTCCTTGCAAGGTGCTGCTCCAGCTATCGGAAGCAACATGAGGTTCAATGTCTTGCCCAGAAACACATCAACATGTTAAGTGGGGAGAGCAGGAATAAAACCGCTGACTTTCTGGTTAGGGGATGACCGCTCTACCTCCTGAGCCACAGCCGCCTCATTTGTCCATAGGAGAAATATGGGGCTCACTAGCTGCTGTGAAATATTGAGCAAAGTTAGCTTTAAGAAGAGAGGCTTAGTTTGGTTGCCAGAGGGGCCGTTTAATGCAAAATCAAGTGGGATTAATGTGCCAGTTCAGCATGTTAAAGAAATTCATGATAGTCCTACTTAGGGTTTAGTGAGCAGTCAGTTACATATCATACAGTCCATCACTACAGGTCTTCAAGAGGCTCATTTTTCGTCTGTGAAATCTTCAGACTTTCTCAGCATTTTTCTAAACATACCTCCAAGATTGACACAGCCGTAATGCACACTAAGTGTCATCCCACTTATCCTGAGTCTCAGTCTCTCTCACACTCACAGTTTCTTAAGAATGCTTGCATCCTGCTGAGACTCTAAACTGCTCTGCTGTCATGGCCCCGTCTTATCAACAGGGCTATAGAGACCTCTCGTTTTTTCGACTCACTCTTGAACACATTATTAGCCGAGATTAATATGTCATAAGGAATATATCAGGATGGGATCGTGAATGATGACACAGCCTGGAGTGTGGGCCTTGGTCCCTCTGACCATTAAGGTCAGTGTGATGAAACCTGCAGGAGGTTTTATCATGGATGGAGAGAAGGCTACTTGGTGGATGTTAGTGTGTGTGTGTGTGTGTGTGTGTGTGTGTGTGTTTGTCTTGGTTCTTCCTGTTGATGTCTCTATTTCTCTGCTCTTCTATCAACACCTGTGTTTGTGGCTATATGTGTTTATTTTGTCCAAATTTTAAAACTGTATGTTTCCTTCTGAGCTCTACTAGTATCTAGCCTATCATTTTTGTTTAATTTATTGATGTTTTGAGGCACAGTATCTGTCATTTAGGTTATTTCTGATGTCCAAAGCATTTGAAAAGAAGACTTAAAAATCTGAGGAGCAGCATTTATTACAAGAAACAGCATTTTGGTTATTCTAGATCTGGGCTTTTCAAAGTCTCAATATTTTTGCTTTCCCTGGCTACATATATGAGAGGGTGAGACTATTAATACCTCTAAATATAATGTAGTCCATTACAACACTGCTTTTAACTGTGACTTCACCAATAAACATATAGTTGATTTTATACATTTATGACAATTTCACCAAAACCCGAAACATTTCAGCTTCATAAACACAAATGTTAAGGCAGAAGTGTTGCACTGAAGATCATGCAATTATACAGATGTACCTAATAAAGTGGCTGGTAAGTGTTTTTTATTTGTAAGTTATAAAATAAGTTTAATAAAAGTCATTTGCTTATCACTAATTGTTCTGGACCTTTGACCTTGAATAGAAATGAGATTCAGACCTTTGAATATTAAGTCTGAGAAGCCCTGCTCTAGATAATCCACAGACTTCAGTGTTGGAAGTTTTCATTATCCAGACTGGTAACTCCCAAACAGGGGATCAGGACCCATCACTCAGGTGAAAGATGAATCTGACATCAAAAAAGAATAAAAACATATTGTATTTCTATATATCTTTTCAGATATTTCTTTGGTCTCACTAGCTCTGTCATTAAACTAACTCTATGCATTCTCTCCAGCTGACTTGTTTTAATGCAAGAACTCTGTCTTTGCTTGTGTCCTGTGAAGTACAGGGTTGTTTTCCTCTTCAGTTCACCACTCGAGCGGGGTAGTGGCAGATGTTTCAGAGACAGATATCGCTAAAGCTTAGCACATAAAACCAGACTTATTTGCATGGCAAGTTAACCCTAGTGAGAAGAAAGATATAAGCGTGCATGATTGATCTTGTATCCATATGTGAGTCTAAAGGTTTTGGCCTCTGTAAAAGAAGTTGCTGCTCTCTGTCTCTGTCTCTCTTCTCTGGTCATAGATAATGAAATCTGTGGGCATTGTGAGGGCACAGCGAGGTCATGGCACCATCATTTGTTTTCTGCCAGTGTGCTCAACTATTGATTCTGACATCGGTGCTCAAGGCTAATGTCGACCATGTTTACCCAGATTAATTAAAAAGTCCCTCACGTCACATTGCCTCGAGGTGTGGGCTCGTTCTGTCAGTACTGGCACAGTGTTAAAACTTGGAAAGCACTTGTCCGCAGCACAGTTTATAATGAGAGAAATAACATGGAGGTGATATCTTAACTTCCTTTTAGCTTGGCTGTTGTCACTCAGAGGGGTAATCAGCTCAGCTCTACTTCAAAAATCAGCTCAGGAAATCAATATGAATTGCCATGTTGTAGAAAAAAGTGCCATTGACCCAACCATTAGTGCTATTATATCTCCTGCTCACATATTAAGTGAATTGGACAGGACTTTGTGCTTGGCAAGGTGAGAGACAATCACTAAAACACAAGCTTTGCTTATTCATCATGATGACTGTTCTCTCTCTCTCTAACACACTCATGCTCTCACCCTGTCCTCTCACTAATGATTGTGACAATCACACCTGCAATTAGAAAATAATTGTTTTCATTATCAACCCAGGTAATGCTGTTTGTCAGACTGTAATATGGATCGTGCCTCATGTTCCAACCTGCCCAGTGTTTTAAAAACCTTCATGGTGCCTGCACAGTGGAGCACAAAACACTATATTTAGAAATCTGGTTGAGGTTGAACATTCAATTGTTAGGTCAGTTTTATCTACTGTACATATAGTGCAGTATATTGCAGCAGGCAAGTAAAGACACTTGGCTACATAGAAGGCAAACATTTTAGCCGCTTGTCATCTGCACTACTTGAAAGAGTGATAAGACATTATCTGTGGGAATTTTATCTGTGCAAATGGTTTATAGTTATAAGTGGAAACCAAGGAGAGAGAGTGCTGACGTACTGTACAGCTGATTGAGAATTGGAATAGCTGTGGAGAACTGATGTCAGGGCTAGAAGCTGTTCTCCTACTTAACACTAGCTGTAATCAATCCACGTTCTTTAATTTTTTTTATTTTTTGGATCACGGTGGCCTCTTTATGAAGCTTTATCTGTTTAGTGAGTGATGGTTTTCTGGAAATTGTTAAGCTACTTGAATCAGAGCTATGAAAGCCCCTTCACATATGGCGCAATCACACAAGTCTTGTTGAATATTTTGCCTCCTCTCAGGATTGAGTGGGCGTGTGCAGACCGGCATCTTCCTCACTTTCCCTTATCAGCTGTTTTCAGCCATGAACAACTTACCGCTAATTATTTAGAATTTGATGATATAACAGATTCCCAGCATAACCCCTGCCAGCTTTAGATTTGAACCAGGGATTTTAGTGAATAATAAAAACACCTGTGTTGGTTTTCAGGTATTTTTTTTAAATAAGTAATCATATTACATTGCTAAGATCACTGTCTCTGTTCTTTTCTTTTGTTTGCAGGAGATGTCATTGTGTATATCAACGACGTGTGCGTCCTGGGTACCACCCATGCTGATGTGGTTAAACTCTTTCAGTCAGTGCCCATTGGTCAAAGCGTGACCCTGGTCTTGTGTCGTGGCTACCCTTTGCCCTATGACCCAGAGGAAGCTGCTAACACCAACAACAACACCAGCACCATCTTGTCCCCGCTGGGCATCATGGAGCAGCGACCCATCATGGTGAACGGTAGGACAGGCTATGATAACTACCTGGACTATCTCTCCCGCACAGCACGCTTTGTCACAGACCCCAGTCAGGACCAGGTCAATGCCCAGCAGCAGTTGCTACCACCTCACCCAGGCGACACCCACCTAGACAGCTCCCTTCCTCCCACCAGCGGGACCACGCCCCCTGACAGCGTCTCAATGGCATCGTCGGGGGCAACCCAGGGGGAGCTGCTAACTCTGACCATGGTGAAGGGCATGGACGGTTTTGGCTTCACTATTGCGGACAGCGCCACAGGCCAACGTGTTAAACAAGTCCTGGAGCCTCAGGGCTGCCCAGGCCTGTGCGAGGGCGACCTGATCATGGAGATTAACAAGCAACCTGTACAGGGATTCACACACACCCAGGTGGTGGAGCTGCTCAAGGAATGTGCCGTTGGAGCTGAGACCAGCCTGGTAGTTCAGAGAGGTGGAACAGGTAAGAAGAGTGGCTGCAGGTAGGGACGGTGCAGAAGATCAGCAGGAGCTCTTGATTCTCTCCTTGTCCCTTTCATAGTGTCTCTCTAGGTACATAACTGTCTGCCAGGTCATGTGTGTCATTTTTTGTCATTATAGCCAAGTGTGTCTTTGTGAATGGAACAGTTCAAAGACAGAACCTTTTATACAGTCCTGCAATGCTCAGCAGTGGCTGACTGATGCACAGCTACTCTTAAGTGCCTTTCTGAGTCCTCTTGTCTTTACACAGGGAGAAAAACAGCTTTCCTTCACTTTACTAGAGTAGATGCCTCTCCGCTCGGCTCACTGGGCCATACCAGCTTGTCAATAATATTTTTACATTGAAGTGCATGCTTCTTGCAGTGGTGAGTTTTGTTGTGCTTTGTTTTGGTTTGTTTTTTCTTTCCTCCTTTTTTTTTTTTTGGAAAACCAAATTTTCCCATCTTTTGTGAGCCACAGATAAAAGCCCCAAAATTCGATCGTGTCAAAAGCTGCACAGTTTTTCCACAAAATACTGGTCGACTGCAAAGTGCTTTCTAACTGTGTTTTTCAGAATGCGTGGCCCCCTAACAATCATAATAATGCACCACACTCTGTCATGAGTCAAACACAGGGTTGTTATTTGCAGAATCAACAGGTAGCCAACAGTTTTCTGCTCTTCTCCTCCGAGCGTGTGTGCAGTATGCTGTGGCAGATTGTGTATGGAGTGTGTAGAAACTACATTCACTTACTTAAAAAAAAGATCAAACTGTCAACCACTTTAAATGACGATCTCTTTGACATTGGTAATAGAAAAAGTCTTCTCTAAATGTGTGTGCACCTTAAGTGACAACATAAGTTTTGTGTGAGCCTGTTGTGATCTGCCTACAAACTGAGATTGCCTTCTTATTGAGTTGTGGAGGTGGTGCATCTGCCAGTGATGACTCAGCCAAAGCACTGACATTGAAGATTAAAACGTTAGAGATTTTAATTAAATCTAGAAACGGCAACAGCGGCTCTTCATCAGCCAAGCAAATAGGATCTGTCTCTGAAACCGTGTTTTTACATGAATCTTCACTCTAAGTTTATTGGCTGTGATGTTTCTTAGCATCCTCTAAGTGATGACATGTAAATTTAAGCAAGCATGCACACTGGAAGCCAGGCCAATTGGATAGGGAAACCAACGCTGCTGTTGCTTTTGTGTGGAACCAATTTGTACTTCTGTGTTTGGCCACTTTGTGTCGTGGAATGTCACAGACCAATCATCATGCCAACTACCTTCTGCCACAGACACCACTGAGACTCATCCACAAAGGTCAGCGGTGTCCTCTGAATAGATGTACTGCCATTTATTTCTTTATTAGGCTGCCGGTGTCTCTGTAGCCAACAAACAGGAAGAGGAGAAGATAAGGGAAAACAATTCTAAGAGAAGAAACTGTCCAGGATGTTAGGAAAATATGTTTTAATCCAGTACCTCTACAAAATGACGTGGCAACATATAAACACACATGGCCATATGGGAGAGGTGAAAAGTTTCACCATCTCAAAAATCTCCAATCTGCCATCACACTCCCCATGCACAAATCATAAAAACACACACTCTCCCATCTGTACAGGAAGCCAACGGTGAAGTGCCCTCGCCATCTGTCTCAGTTCTTCACTCACAGCAGAGCCCCAGAAGGTTGAAAGAAATGCTCCCATCTAAAGAGCAGCCTGATGGCCCATGGAGAAGGTGGCAGGCTTATTTACATGCTATATTTCATCTCATTATCCAAAATCTGGATATGGCTTAACTCCGCTACACAACAATACGCCAGGGTCCAGTGGTACATCTGTTTGTGTTGATTTCCTGTGACATGACAAGCTGTGGGTGTGGGAGGTGGAAAAATCATCGCTGCCACCCAGCCTGCTCTTGGAGTAGCATGACTGCATTACATACACATACAGTACAGTATGTGTAGGAATAATAAGGCTCTCAAAAAGTTCCAAAGGGCCCCCTGAGAGTGTTTTAGGTATTTAACCAGAAAACCCTCTGGTCATTCAGATTTGAGTCTTCACAACCTACTGGGCAAAAACAGTCACAATCACACAATCACAAAGTGTTTGTTTGTTTTTACTAATTTCTTCTTGATTCAGACAAACAAGGAGAAATGGGGCTAAAGTGGGGGGGAAAGTATATCTGTATTTTTGATGTGTCAAAGCTAATGATTTGTTCATTTTGTTAGAGTTTTGTGGTGTTGGCAGTGTTGATGTCTTTGGATGTGTCTGCTATTCAAACACTCCAAATTATTGTAGGAACAAGATGTTATGATGCATTTTGTTTGTTAAAGGCACAAATTACATCAGGGTATTCAGGAGTGACAAACAAAAAGCAGCACTGAACTAGAGAATGGTGCTACAGTAGCATCAGTAATGGATTACTTTGACCTTGCTCTTGTATCCTACCAATGTTGGTTGATAGAACATTAACTGACAATAGTTTTTAAATTGATTTGACCATTTACCTAACCCAATGTTCACAACTTTTATAAATGCCATTATTTGCTCAGAATTTCATATTATTGCAAAATGGAAAATCTTCTGTGGTTTCAGACTGTTTAGTCGGACAAATCAAGATATTTCCATATGTCACACTGAGCTCTGGGAAAATTGTGAGCGGCATTAATTTTGCTATAAAATGTGGCCCATTTTTTCTTGCATTTATTAGAGTAGAGAGATAACAGAAAGTTATCTGAGACTGAAAATGACCGACAACAAAGGTCTCCGGCCAGAATGTTGTCGTTCATGGTCAGTGCTTAGGCCTTTGTACATCTAGGGTGGCAGTGTTTCCTGGTTTAATGTCCTGAATGTGTTAGTGAAGGATTTGGATCGCTGTGAAGTCAGGATGTAAGAAAATATCGATACACTTGAGTATCATGATATTATGTTCTGCAAAAACACAGCATTGATTTTTAATTAATAGTTCACATGCCCAGTAGTGCTGTGCTGTTGGATGTTACAGGAACTGTGACAAATGCAAATACAGATCCCTGTTCTGATCGCATAAAAAAGTTAACTTTTGTACAGGAGATTTTATGCATATGGTGATGTGCCATGACACTTTCTCTAAATCTAGATTTTTTTTAAAATCACAATGTATCACCTTGTTTACAGTATTGCAATATATTGAATGGTAACCCCTGTATCCTCATACGTATCACCAGATTCTTGCCAATACACAGAAGTTATTTTGAAGTGAATCTACTCTGAAAAATGATATGAGAAACAGTTTAATTAGAGATTCTTGTGGTATGTTTAGTTCACCAGAGTGTGGATATGTTGTCATGTTCACTTATTACTCCCACATAAACACAGTGAGTAATTGTGCGCACAGTTTTCAGCACTACAGCAGTACTTTACAGATGAAGTGTAAACCATCTCAGACGCCCAGCGTACACTGTTAGATATGATATGCATTTGATTCTCTCCCCCCCACCCTCACCCAAGCTTCCTCAGACTGTCCAGCTCCGAGCGCTTATCCAAGCTATTACCCATCATAATAAAACTGTCACCGTGCCCCTGGAGTGATGTTCCACCTCCTAACACACCACAATTTGGCCTGCTCCTTTAGAACACTGGACACCAGCCACACAATCTAATTGAACTGCCTGTTTTTCTTGTTAAAGACTTGTGCAACTAGCCAGCGTAACAGAGAGTGGGACGAGCGACTTATATCACTGAACAACTGTCACGCTCATCTCTGGCGAGCACACAGCTTATCACTTTTACTGAAAACACACTCTGAAGTGGAGGATTGAGATGAGTTCAAAAGACTGAGTGCATATTTCTACACGACAGATTTTTTTGTTTTGTTTTATCCTGCGGAGGGAACTCCCACCTCTTTGCATCCGTTTAAGGAAAAAATGCGTAAATAGTAGAGTAGAAGTGGGGTTGACAGCATTTACACCTTTATCACTCCCACATATTTCACAAATTTTCACAGCCACAATCCATTAGTACTTTTCTAGCTATTTTATTATACTGTTGCTATGACGACACACCCCTAATGTCCAGCATCAGAGACTCAGAGATCACAAATGGCTGGTGAGGTGAGGAAGGTTCACAGACTGAGCTTCATCAATAATTACAGGTCTCTCTCTTTCATTCATGCACCTCCCGTCTGAGTCTCAGCTCTTCATCTCTGTGAGTACAATGTGCAGAGAAAGAGAAACGACCCAGAAACTGGAATAGACAGACAGTGATGTCGAAACAAAAAAGGAGCAGGGGACCAATGTGACTGTGGACTTGAAAACAGAGAACCAGCATGCAACAGTGTCTGTTCAGCAAGGCTCACTTTGCTTGGCTTGGTGTTGTCATGGACACAGAAAGGAGTCAAAGAGTGCAGTGAGTTATTGTTCTGAGGCAGTAAGTATGTGTGACTTTTTAGCATCAGTAAATCATTGCCAGAGAGATTTTAATCATCATTAACAAAGGAGACAATCAAGAAGAAAAATGGTAGCTGCTGGCATCCTTGACTTTGCTTTTTATGTTCTGCCCCACAGCATCAGACTCGACATGGAAATCTGGAGCTCTGATCTTTCACTTAACAGTTTCAGCACCAGCAGAGCAGGGACCTTAGAGTTTGTTGTAAAGGAAGATTGTGTGTTGAGTGAAAGGCTGCCGCTGAGTCCGACATGTTTTTCTGCTTCAGTAAAGTGAAAGAGAAAAGTAGCGCTCTCACTTGCTATGAGTGCATTTTCTCTCCTCTGACTTTTGCAAATCAATCACCTAATTAATTCAGCTCTGTAGTAATATCACAAGTGAGACATTAGAGCTAAGGTGACCGCCAATTCACTGTCCAAAAACGCAGCCATTTATGTCACAAGCCATCTAGTCACTTAAGCCCCATTACCTTGAGAGGCCCACACTCATAGTATCATTATGATATTTAGCCATCCCTTAAATTTGACTCCCATCCCATTTTTGCCCAACAAATGGGCACTCGGTTTCTCATCATCCATATTTATTGCAACTGTGTGTGTAGGCATATGTGTGTGTGTGTGTACTTGTGTGTGTGTGCATTGCAGACAGCCTCATTAGTGGCTATCTAGGCCGTTAACAGTCTGTGTCCTCGTTGCCACACCAGCAGAGACACGGGGCCGTAATTAGCTGCAGAAACCTTCAGCTCATTCACATGTACGCTCACCCATTTACCTTCCACTAACATTCTTTCTCACTGCCGCCCGCCTACATGCTCGCCCAGATTCTTCACCGCACTGTTTAATTCACAGGAGTTGTACGTACACCCACACAACAGCCAGGCACACACTTTCTTCATCGTACACATCCCAAGGCAGCCTTCTGCACACAGGCCTCCACACACTTACATAACCTCCCCACTGCTCGTACTGTCATGGATAAATAGTTCACTATGAATCAACTTTCTGGCTTGACATTGATCATGTGTACACAGGTGAGCAGAGGCCACTTTAAAATCTGTGTAGACCTTAGGATCTGCTTTGCAGAGAAAGAAAGGAATAAGAAAAAGAAGGGTTTGATTCACTGAACCTCCCCCAGCCTCCCAGGGAATCGTTGTAAAACTAGACAGTGATTCATTGGTGTGTGTGTGCAAGACAGAATTTTTGGAAACAAAAAAGAATAGAGAGTGATGAGCTCAGCTCTCTGCCAGTACAGTACCGACTGTTCACATGTTCACACGCACAGTACAGCCCCATGGACGAGCTACCCACCAGGGTTTGATATCCCAACCGATCAGCTAAGGTCTTCGCGCATTAAGGATGAGATGCTGAGATTAGATTGTAGCAGAACTTGAGGGAGTTAAGCAAAGTTGATGGTGTTTAGTCTTATTTCTGTCTAAATGAAATCACAGAATTAAATGTTAGACTTCCATTTTCTTTCTGTGTGTGGGAGGAGTGGAATTATTAACCTTAGTTGCCTCTTAAACAAATCAAGCTATTTAACGTGACGAAGTCATTACCCAGTGATTGCAAGAGCGTGTTAACTATGTTGTGCTGTTTTGAGCTTTAATATCGTCCATATTCAGTCGTGTACCTTGTAAATAATTAGGTTTGCACACAGCTACAGAACATCAGGTGAACATGGAATGAGTATTTCAATAGAAGTGGATAGAATCTGCTGTGGATGTTATGTGAAGCTGCTGGCCTCCCTCAGGAGATGCAGATACATATTCATAAAGGGCTGAAAGATTCATGCATGCTGCTGTCAATACCAGTGTTATCATTTTCAATAACTGAAGGGCTAGCGTTAGCCTCTTGTGAAATTAAAGAGATCTGTGTTGTTGTGTGGGTGAGTAGACGTGACCTGATGTATGTCAGATGGTTGGGTTTGTGTGCCCCTTTGGCAATTTTATGTATGTATTCTTTCTTTTTTTCACCCACATATACTGTAGATGTTTTGATTTATTCAAACTTTGCTAAATCATGGTCACAGTCAAGTGTTAGCCAACTATGTAACTATGAATATTTTTATTTTAAGACTTGTATCATTATTCTTCTTGGTCTACATTTCTGCCTTTCCAGACCTCTGAATCACATGAAACTTTTTCCCAGTTGACATGTTGCAAAGGCTGTGTAGGTCGTTGATCATAACAGCACCATTGTTGCCAGAGAAACTAGCCGACTCATCACCCTTGGAGCAGAAAGCCTCTCTGGAAACACTTCCCAGTTCAGAACTTTTTAATTGGAGCTTTTGGGCGGAAATTGAAAGGGAGACACAACTTCCACCAACCTCATTTATTACTGAAGCCATGCCAGGGCCAAGGTGCAAGATACAACACGTACAGCAAGCGCAGATACACAAGCATACACGGTGACACATTTTGGGTGTAAGGACCTCTGCTGGTTCGTTATGGAAATTTGAATAAGTGAGACGTTCTACCCTCATTATTGGTGTTATACTGGTCTTGCATGCATCACAAGAGGAACGCTTATAGTAGGACAGGGCACTGGTTAGTTCAAGTGCAGCTTGGACACTGCAGGGTTCGTGTAGCTCTGTGCTTCAGAGCTGACAAGCCTGCTTAGCACCATGAACACTCTCTCTTTCTCCCGCTCTCTTTCTGTCCCTCGCTCACCTCTCAACATTTTGCCATGGGGCACTCTGACACCCGCACTGAACTAAATGTCTGGTATGCCTGAGCCAACAGCGACTCTACCCTGAGGAGCACCTCGATCAGTGATGCCGGCTAGTACCCCTCCCTCCTGTTGGTTCAGCTCAGCTCAGGTCCTGTCACCCACTAAGAGCACTGCTCTGTTGCCTCTTTTGCTCACTGGGTCCTTCACACTGGCTCAGATGTACAGTTGGTATTGTGGATATACAATCTTTATTGGATTGAAAATCAAAAATCCACTCTGTCCCTTGCTGTTGTCATACTTGTTTCCTTATTCTTTCCTGTTTTGGCCTGAGAAATTATTCCCATGTGCACTGAAAATGGAATTGGCATCAAGTTTTAGTTAAGCTGTCATAATTGTTTCATTTCTTAAAATGCTATTTGGCTTATTTTGAGTGAGAGAAGCTGACAGTCTGAAAAAATAACGCCACATTTCTTTGTGTAGCTTTTGTTAATTTCCATGTTGTCACCATTCCACTGGTGGCTCAGTGAGACAAATCTTTTAACTGTGTAAATGGAGCCTCGCCAGGCCAAGACTGGGAAGGCTGGCGCATAATTCGAGCAGTCACCCCATAATTTGAGTCCTTCATTTGCATATGCTTGTAGCTTCCCAGAGGGGAGTCTATGGCATCTCTTGAAAAACGGGAAGGAGAAAAATTGAATCAAGAAGACAGGGCATGCACATTTTTTTTTACACGCTCCTGTGAATCAGAGTATGAAAATAGTTCTGCTGATTGTTTTCTTTCCTTAGCCAACGGAGATTACTGTGTGCTATGATTAAACAATGTTAGAAACAGTGGCATGAGTGAATGGTCCTGGACTTTAGCTCAGTGGGTTAAGGTCTATTAGTCCACCTCAGACCTGCAAATGGAATGGGACCTTTAAAGGACAACATGTGCCTTACCTTGTTGTGCTCTGCTGTATTACAAACTGAAATCACTGAGAGGTGCACTCATTCTCGACCCACTTAACTGAAAGTCATAACATTCTCAAATCTCATTGCCTTTTTATTGCTGAGGCCCCGGACAGATTAGTGATGGATCAACAAATCCCTTGTTGGTAAGATGGTTACAAAAAATCAGTCCTAATGGGAGCTGGTGAAATGTTTAGATAGTCTTTTAATGCACATGGGTGAGGTACTTTAGCATTGACAGTAGATCACATGACTACTTGTTAGTGAAGGGTCACTCATGAACCCACAGAGAATTACTTCCTCACAGCACTTCAGAGTATTTTAATGGCGTTAAATTGACCCCTTAAATTGTTCATTCAGAACATAAATTATCATAATCATTAATAAATATCCTAAGGCCTTTTAAAATCCTAATCATTACTGGAAAAGATACATTTTTTGCAGATTTTAAAGCCTTTAGTTTAGTTTATTTAATCGTATCCATCATTTTAATATGAAGGCACCCCATATATGACCAGTGCTTTTTCCTCATATATTTATTTGCCATTTTCTGCTTTGTGCTTTCATCCTGTTTGATTAAGTTGAGTTTTCCATTCACAAACAGTTTTCATGTCATTCTTGGTTTTTTTATTTGGTTTATTTTTGTTTTTTTCTCAATTTTATTATCCTTAAAAATCCATTACCATCACAGCTAAAATTAAACCCCACATCTCATGAACTTTTTTTTTTTTTTTTGGTCTAAAGCATTTATTGTTCTCTTAACATTGCAGGTCACTATTCACCCTGGAAGACCCCTAAGCAGGTAACATGCATCAGTCTCCCAAATCTGGACTGTCCCCATTTTTGCTTTTTAATCATTAATATAGATTTTAGTACCAGTGGCTGCAGTGTGCTTACTGTATGTGCTAATCAGAATGACTCTAGTCTTGTTTTTTATGCCGTGTCTCCTGTCATACTTTATAAAAATCTAGAATTGACTTTTGTATTCCCTCCTTTGTCGTACTAACTCTACTGGTGACTCACTGTATGCCTGTGGCCTTTACAGCACATAGCCCTTGATATCTAGCCTTGAATTTATTGTTATGTGATGACAAGAAGGTCAGGTACCCCACTCGTGACATCACTAGACTCTTGATCCTGCAGGTCAGTCCTTATTCAAGGCCTGACTCAGTGCCGTCAGGGTTATCTACACACGGAACATCTGAATTATGCCACAGCTGTAGTGCTGCTATCTGACTGTGTGCTTTGGCATGGCCCGTGCGAATTTTCAGCCCTTTTTTATCTTCATCTCATAATATTTGACCATCCTGTCAAATTTTTAAGAACCTTTTTTGTGCTTTCACACCCAGCATATGATCGCTGGTTGTTTACCTTTCACCTTGCCTATATTGTTTAAGGCGAAAGCCTTTGTGTGGTATCTCTACAAACTTCTACAAAGCCTCCTCTACTGCTTTCTCTGCCACTGCTAGAGTATCATGTGTTGTCCCTAGGCCCTCCAGCAATTATATCCAGCAAACATCCTCTTAGATCAGATTCACTTTGACTTTTTGTCATACTCACATGCCTGCACACGAGTCTTTCTGCCCATCTTTCTTTGTTTCTCTTTGTGTGACTATGTGTGTAATCGATTTCATGCCTGGGCGTCCTCTCGCCGCTGCTCTGACCAGCCCCTGACCCCAGCTCATGTTGTCCCCTTTCCAGATCACAACTAACAACACAGGAAGGCTCCACTGTGCAGTTTTGAAGACATTTGTCCTCTGAAATCCCCTCATTGTTCATCATTTCTGCTTCATCTTGATTCAATCAGTCTCCACCATCTCCCTCAGAATAGTTCCAATACAGAGCTCAGAGGAAAAGCTTTGAACATCACAACATGCAGAGCCTCTCTCTCACCTTGTCCATTCACTATTTCTCTCTTTTTTTAAACCCCAGTGTTCATTTGCCGGCTGCCTTGTCCCAC